TGTCTCAAAAAAAGTTTTTTTTTGTACAAATTTATGGGTCATATGTGAACTTTGGCTACATGTGTGTAATACGTACTGATCAAATCAGGTGTTTAGGGTGTCCATTCCCTGCGTATAATACATTTTTGTTAAGTATAGTCACTCGACTCTATTATCAAACACTGAATTTATTCCTTCTTACTGTATATTTGTACCCTTTAACCCAGTTCTCTTCATCCTCCCTCTCCCACCACTAGCCCTTCCCAGCCTCTGTTATCTATCTTCCTACTCCCTATCTTCATGTGATCAAACATTTTGGCTTCCACCTATAAGTGATAACACGTGAGATTTGTCTTTTTGTGCCTAGCTTACTTCTCCTTTTTTTTCTTTTTTTGAGATGGAGTCTCACTCTGTCACCCAGGCTGGAGTGCAGTGGCGACATCTCGGCTCACTGCAACTTCTGTCTCCCAGGTTCAAGCGATTCTCCTGCCTCAGCCTCCCAAGTAGCTGGGACTACAGGTGCACGCCGCCACACCCAGCTAATTTTTGTATTTTTAGAAGAGATGGGGTTTCACCATGTTGACCAGGCTGGTCTCCAACTCCTGACCTCAGGTGATCCACCGACCTTAGCCTCCCAAAGTGGTGGGATTACAGGTGTGAGCCACTGTGCCTGGCCTTGTGCCTGGCTTATTTCTCTGAAGATAATCACCTCAACTTCCATCCATGTAGCTGCAAATAACGTGATTTCATTCTTTTTATGGCTAATATTCCATTGTGTATATATAGCACATTTTCTTTATCCAGCCATCCATTGATGAACACAGGTAGATTCTGTGTCTTTGCTCCTGTGAATAGTGCTACAATAAACATGAGAATGCAGATATCTCTTTGATAAATTGCTTTCTTTTTCTTTAGGTAGATACCCAGTAGTGAGCTTGCTGGATCAAATGGTAGTTCTATTTTTAGTTTTTTGACAAATCTCTATACTATTTTCCGTAGTGGTTGTACTAGCTTATATTCCCAACAGTGTATAAGGGTTCATTTTTCCTGGTTGGGTGTGGTGGCTCACGCCTGTAATCCCAACACTTTGGGAGACTGAGGCAGGTGGATCACCGGAGGTCAGGAGTTTGAGACCAGCCTGACCAACATGGTGAAAGCCTGTCTCTATGAAAAATACAAAAATTGTCCGGGTGTGGTGGCAGACGCCTGTAATCCCAGCTACTAGGGAGGCTGAGGCAGGAGAATCACTTGGACCCAGGAGGCGGAGGTTGCAGTAAGCCAAGATTGCACCATTGCACTCCAGCCTGGGTGGACTCTGTCTAAAAAAAAAAAAAAGAGTTCCTTTTTTCCACATCCTCACCAACAACTGTTATTTTTTGCCTTTTTAATAATAGCCATTCTAACTAGGGTAAGATGATATGTCATTGTGTTTTTGACTTGCCTGTCTCTGATGACCAGTAATGCTGATTATTTTCTTTTCATATATTTGTTGACCATTTGTATGCAAAATGTCTATTCATGCCCTTTGCCCCTCGCCTTTTTTTTTTTTTTTTTTTTGAGACAGTGTCTCTTGTCACCCGGGCTGGAATGCAATGGCTCAATCTCAGCTCACTGCAACCTCCATCTCCTGGGTTCAAGCAATTTTCCTGCCTCAGCCTCCCATGTAGCTGGGATCACAGCCATCTGCCACCACGCCTGGCTAATTTTTGTATATTTTAGTAGAGATAGGGTTTCACCATGTTGGCCAGGCTGGTCTTAAACTCCTGAGCTCAAGTGATCCACCTGCCTAGGCCTCCCAAAGTGCTGGGATTACAGACATGAGCCACTGCTTTTTTTTTTTTGAGATGAAGTCTGGCTCTGTTGCCCAGGCTGGGAGTGCAGTGGCGTGACCTTGGCTCACCGCAACCTCCACCTCCTGGATTCAAGCTTTTCTCCTGCCTCAGCCTCCTGAGTAGCTAGGATGACAGGTGCGTGCCACTGCACCCAGCTAATTTTTTGTATTTTTAGTAGAGACAGGGTTTCACCATGTTGGTCAGGTTGGTCTTAAACTCCTGGTAAACTCCTTAAACTCAGGTAATCCGCTCACCTCGGCTTCCCAAAGTACTAGGATTATAGGCATGAGCCACCACACCCGGCCATTTTTTTTTTTTTCAGTAGTTGAGGTCTCACTCTGCCACCAAAGCTGGAGTGCAGTGGTGTGATCTTACTGCAGCCTTGAACTCCTGGGCTCAAGGGAGCCTCCAAAGTAGCTGAGTCTACAAGCATGTGAGCCACCATGCCCAGCTAATCTTTACTCGTTTTATTTATTTATTTATTTATTTATTTATTTATTTATTTTTGAGACTGAATTTAGCTCTTGTTGCCCAGGCTGGAATGCAATGGTGCGATCTCGGCTCACCGCAACCTCCGCCTCCCGGGTTCAAGCGATTCTCCTGCCTCAGGCTCCCGAGTAGCTGGGATTACAGGCATGCACCACCACGTCCGGCTAATTTTGTATTTTCAGTAGAGACGGGGTTTCTCCATGTTGGTCAGGCTGGTCTTAAACTCCCGACCTCAGGTGATCCGCCCACCTCGGCCTCCCAAAGTGCCCCTCACATTACAGATGTGAGTCACCGCGCCCGGCCAGGTTTCTCAGTTTCTATAATGAGCACATATTCCTTTGATACAGGACTAAGAAACTTCATAAATATCATTGAAGAAAAAAACCTAAATGTTCTTTTCCCCCAGTCTTTCCTTTCTCCCTTAGGGAGGATGGGGTTCCCATGTGTTTGGTGGTGCTGTGGGGTCCCCAGCAGTCTACAGAGAGACAGCAGGCAGGTCTTGCTCAGGTGAGGCACCCTGATAGCAATTGTAGATCCAGGCAGGGATCCAAGAGTGTAGCTAGAGCCAGCAGAGGCGGCTTCCTGGAGGCAGAGGCAGTGAAGCTGACCTGGAAGGGTGATGAAGTTGGCACAAGACAGGAATCTGCTCTGTCTGCTCCCTCACTGAGAACTGCCTGCCCTGAGCTGGACTTCAGCAGTGCTCTTCCTGCAGTGGGTCTCCTTCCCCCTCAAGAGAGTCTGAGGTTGCAGGCCGGGAAGTTGGAACTTAGATTCCTAGGGTCACCTGTTGGAAAGGGGCCCGAGAGGTCATCTGATTTTCCATGCAAGTAGGAGCTATGGAAGGTTTAAGGCAGAGTGTTTTCCCCCATCAATAAGAATGTATCCTAGTTTCCATGCACAGGTGTGTCTCATTGGACCCTCAAGAGAGTCCTGGTAAATACATTGTTTTAAATATTATTGTTATCTTTTTCAAAAGAGGAAAGTGAGGCCCAAAGTGGTCAAACGGATAAGGTTTTCCTCAGGGTATACACAAAGGTGAATCAAAAAATCTCTGGATAGACTGGGCACGGTGGCTCTCACCTGTAATCCCAGTACTTTGGGAGGCAGAGGCGGGTGGATCACTTGAGGTCAGGAGTTCGAGACCAGTCTGGCCAGCATGGTGAGACCGCCCCCCCCGCCCCCATCTCTACTAAAAATATAAAAACTAGCCGGGCATGGTGGCACATGCCTGTAATCCCAGCTACTCAGGAGGCTGAGGCAGGAGAAACGATTGAACCCAAGAGGTGGAGGCTGTGGCGAGATGAGATGGTGCCACTGCACTCCAGCCTGGACAACAGAGCAAGACTTCCTCTCAAAAAAAAAAAAAAAATCTCTGTATACATTCACATCAACACTGAGATGCTCTCACTCACGCTGGTGCTCACACCACACACACACACACACACACTCTCTCTCTCTCTCACCTTCACAGCTGTCCTTCCCAGCTTTGGTGGGAGTTGGCTGTGACTAGAGCTGTCAGGCCTCTGTCAAGTCTTCTTGACTGAGTGTCTCTCTATGAGCAGAGTGGGGCCAAGAAGCCACCCCACCCCCCACCCCCGGGCAGCCTGGCCGCCCTGGCCCTGCCCACACAGCCTGCCCTGAGGCATGCTGAGATCCTAGTCTGTGTCAGGGCTGTCCATCTGCCTTGGTGCTCATCACCTTGACATGAACAGGCCTCAAGGTGGGTGGCCCTAGGTTAAGGACTTTGAAGGGAAGTTGCCCCAGGGGTGGGGGAGGCTCCAGGCTCTGGTGGCCTCATAAGGATGGGTCACATGTGATGGAAAACAGGTCTGGGTCAGGAAAGAATTGCCTTCCTGGGAGTTACTGATTAACCACAGGGGCCAGCGACTATTTGAGAACACTGAGGAGGCGGAGGTCTCCTGGGGCACGGGGTTCTAACTCCCACCCCAGGGCCACCTTGAATGTACACAGGGGAGGTCTGGTACTTCTACGGCCTGAAGGGTCACTGAGGGGCAGAGAGATGGGAGAGATCTAGTGGAGCCCCAAGAGGCATGTGGGGTAGGCAGGGCTCTGGAGGACACGGGAGTTAGATTAGGAGAGTGGCGGGGGCGCAGGGAAGGGGAGGAGCCAGTTCGGAGGGTGGAAGGGGAGTGGAGCACAGAGGCCTGGTTTGGTTCAGAGCTTGCTCTAGGAAATGCCTGCCTGTGTGTCTGTCTCTCCCATTACACTAGGGCTGCTTTTTTTTTTTTTTTTTTGAGACAGTCTTGCTCTGTCGCCCAGGTTGGAGTGCAGTGGCGCGATCTCGGCTCACTGAAACCTCCGCTTACTGCAACCTCTGCCTCCTGGGTTCAAGCTATTCTCTGCCTCAGCCTCCCGAGTAGCTGGGATTACAAGCACCCACTACCACGCCCAGTTAATTTTTGCATTTTTAGTAGAGACGGGGTTTCACGATCTTGGCCAGGCTGGTCTTGAACTCCTGACCTTGTGATCCACCTGCCTTAGCCTCCCAAAGTGCTGGGATTACAGGTATGAGCCACGACACCCGGTCCAAACTGGGGTTCTTAAGGACAACATTGCCTCTCCCTCTGAGACAGGTCCTCAGGGCAGAGCTAGACTTCCCCATAGGCTTATGTGACCCCCCAGGCTGGGGCCCCCTTACAAGGGAACCTGGCAGAGGTGAGCCAACAAAACAGCCAGAGATGCAGACACTGAGAAGAGGGCTCGCTTTATTGAGAAAACAGAAGGTTGGGTCCTTGGTACCAAGATGGAGCCTGGAGTAGGCAAAAAGCCTGAAAACAAGGCTTTGAGTCAAGCTTCCTTTTTCACATGCCCGCCTCCTTGCCCCCAATTGGGGCAGCTCCATTACAGACCTCCAGGCATGCTTTTCCCTGTCTCTGGGCAAATGCCCAGTGGATTTTACCAATAGATGTCTGTTTCTGGGACCCAGGAACAGGAGGCAAGTGTCTCAGTTCTTTTCCAGGATGGCAGAGGCTTCAGAACCATCAACTCCTACCCCTCCATCGTGCAGAGGCCCAGAGAGGGACAGAGACCTGCCCAACATCACAGCAATGAAGTGGACAATGAAGATTCAAAACCACATTTGCTGTCTCCTCAGTCCCAGAGGAGCTTCTAGATGAGCCTCATTATAGGGGGGTATTTGCACCGGCACCTGCCAAGGGACTCCATCCCCGTGATGCAGATGGTCCGGGACCTTCTTCCTTTCCAGGCTGTCCCTTCCTCTTGGGTCCTGAGAGGGCAGTCCTGGTGAGGGCAGGAGAGGACAGCATGGCTAAGGAGCTTGGGGAGAAGATGTCCTCTTGAGAAACTGCTTTCCAGCACATGTCGTCCCACCTTCTGAAACTCAAGGAGATGGTTAAAAGAGAAAAGCCTTGCTCCGGACCCACCTGCAGCATGAAGAACCATGGGTTGGACCGGGCACACTGGCTCACGCCCGTAATCCCAGCACTTTGGGAGGCCGAGATGGGCAGATCACTTGAGGTCAGGAGTTCAAGGCCAGCCTGGCCAACATGGCGAAACCCCGTCTCTACTAAAAATATGAAATTAGCTGGGCACGTGCCTGTAATCCCAGCTACTCAGCAGGCTGAGGCAGGAGAATCGCTTGAACCCGGGTGGCGGAGGTTGCAGTGAGCCAAGATCTCACCATTGCACTTCAGCCCGGGTGACAGAGTGAGATTCTGTCTTAAAAAAAAAAAAAGAAAAGAAAAGACAAGAAAGAAAAAAAGAAGCATGGGTTGATGCAGGCATGACCTAAAACATTAGATAACATGAAAAAAGCTGCATTTGTTGGGCACTTACTATGCACCAGGAACGTTGTTCATTCTCTCAGTAGATAACTACTATGTGCCCACTTGCATCTCCTGGGAGCACTTTCATGACCAAAACAGACAAGGTCCTTCACTCATAGCCTCTTTCTGAATCTTCTCAACTTCTCACCAGGTAAGTGCTGTCATCCATGATTGAGAAATAGCTCAGAGTGAAATGACATGCCCAAGGTCACATGGCAACGACGTGGCAGTCAGTCAGAAAATTATCAAACAAGCAGGATTTCCAAGGCAAGGAGGAAACGGATGGGAAGAGGGACCTACCAAGGTTACAGCAGTTTTTTGAACAACTGGCACATGCCTCTGCCGCCAACATGATGAGGCGCGGAACCCAGCACAGGGAGTGCTCAGCCCGTGACTGTGAGCTGGAGGTGAGAGTCTCCTGAGGGTCTTCGGTGTATTCAGGGAGTTTCCTCTCAGGGGGCAGGAGGAGGAAAGCAGAGTAAGCGGACTTGAAGGACCAGAGATGGGATCCTAGCTGGGCGAATCACTGAGAAGCCATGTGGTCTTGGGCTCCCTTCTCTGAGCCTCAGTTTCCCCATCTGTAAAATGGAGGTAATGATACTAACGCCTACCTCATCATCATGCTGTGAAGATTAAATGAGTTACGCCATAGAAGTGCTGTACATTACCCATTGATAATGTCTCAGTGGCCTCTCGCTGAAATGGAGTGTGACAGAGTACCACACTCTGAAACGGCTCGTCCCCACGCTCGTCTCGTGCTGGGGCTAGAACCCAGGCAACCTCACAGCGCCATGCTCTACTGCATCACTACGTCCACCTCGAGGGCCCCCTCCAGCTCCTTTCTAAGCCCCATTTTGAATTCTCAAGCTGCCTGCAGCCTGAGCCACACAGCCAGCTGTCACCCAACTCTCAACATCTGCAAGCTCAGCGTGGGGCGGCCAGATCCTGATTTGCTCCTGTCACTCCTCCCAGCTTCCAGCACTCCTTCTAGTGTGGGGCCCAGCAGTGAAATAAAGGAATAAATACATGATGAAAGAGAGGCATGTGTACGTGTTTTGTGTGTGAGTGCAGGGGCCAGGATCTGGGTGCCAGGGAGGGGCGTGGTCACTTCCTAGGGGCTTTGGGCCTCTGGGGACCGGCTCCAGTCTGGATCTGCAGCAGGTGCTAGAGGGAGCTGGCAGCCAGTAGTCATGCCTTAGGCAAAGAATCTGCCGCTGACACAAAGAGAGGGCTGACCTTTGGACAGAGACCCAGCAGGCGCCCAGCCTGGACTGTTGTTCTTCCAAGTCCTCTCAGGGTGCTAGTGGGCCCTCTCCAACCTGAGGAGCATTTATTTTATTTTATTATTATTTTTTTAGACAGTGTCTCACTCTGTTGCCCAGGCTGGAGTGCAAGTGGCGTGATCTCGGCTCACTGCAAGCTCCGCCTCCTGGGTTCAAGCGATTCTCCTGCCTCAGCCTCCTGAGTAGCTGGGATTACAGGCGCGGGCCACCATGCCCGGCTAATTTTTGTGTTTTTAGTAGAGACGGGGTTTCACCATGTTGGTCAGGCTGGTCTTGAACTCCTGACCTTGTGATCCGCCCGCCTTGGCCCCCCAAAGTGCTAGGATTACAGGCGTGAGCCACTGTACCCGGCCCTTGAGGAGCATTTCTAATTCCAAGCCCAGCAAGCCTCCTCAGAGCAGCTGCCTCTGGCACCCGCGTAATTATCAGAGAATAATCCTGTATCAAGGCCCCACTATGCGCCAGGCACTTTGGTGGCACTTTGCTCACCATCTCTCTAGCTTTCAGAGAGGGCTCATGGAGGTGAAGTGACTTGCCTAAGATCACATTGCTAGCACGTGGCCAAGAATTCGGCAAAGCTAGGACTCTTATTAAGTGAAACTGACGGTCATATTAGAGATGGAGCAATTCCCACATCTCAACTCTAGAAGGAAACAGAAGCTCAGAGAGGGCAAATCCCTTGTCTAGGTCACACAGCCAGTTAGCTCGAGAGCTGGGATTTGATCCAGGCTTGGGGACTGCCTGGGCCATGTACAACACTAAACTGGAGGGTTCCCATCACCCTCCTGCCCTCCCTACTCCCATCCTCTCTTATGACACTTGACATTATCCATCACTCCCTCCCCCTGGGAACGCCCTCCTCCTCCAGTTTCCATGGTAGCACATTCTCCCCATCCTCCTCCTGCTTCTCTGGCAGCTTCTCACTCTTCATGGTGGCTCCTGAGCCAGGAAGCAGGAGGATCCCGAAGCCGGATCTCCAGTCTCTCCTCTGTCTCCATCGCCAGCCCTGATAGCTCACCTACTCTTCCCTGTAGGTCTCTAGCTCTGACCCTGAACTCTGGCTCCACTTTTAAGCAGTAACTGCCACTTACCATGTACTTAGAGTTTACTTATGTTCTGGGCCTTATCCTATACATACATTAAATCCTCACAACCATCCATGAAGGAAGTCTACTCTACAGATGAGGAAACTGAGGCTCAGAGAGGGAAAGCCAAGATCTGATTCCAGCCTTAACCACTACTTCTTCTGCATCGAGACGAGGTATGAGAGCTGGGCACAGTGGCTCACACCTGTAAACCCAGTACTTTGGGAGGCAGGAGAATTGCTTGAGGATAGAAGTTCAAGACTAGTCTGGACAACACAGAAACACTCTGGTCTCTATTTTTAAAAAAAAGGCCGGGCTCGGTGGCTTACGCCTGTAATCCTAGGACTTTGGGAAGCTGAGGCGGGCAGATCCCCTGAGGTCAGGAGTTCAAGGCCAGCTTGGCCAACATGGTGAAACCCAGTCTCTACTAAAAATACAAATATTAGCTGGGCTGTGGTGGTGCGTGCCTGTAATCCCAGCTACTCAGGAGGCTGAGGCAGGAGGATCACTTGAGCCCAGGAGTTTGAGACTGCAATGAGCTATGATTGCACCACTGTACTTGCACTCCAGACTGGGCAACAGAGCAAGACACTGTCTCAAAAAAAAAAAAAGATGAAGAAGGGATCTGAAACAGTAGGACATCTTGAAATCAGGGGCAAAAACTTTCCTCCCTCCTCCTGAAGGGAGAGAAATGGAAATTTTGGGGGAAACAGACGTACTCTGCAGTTTTGAGAACCCTGTGACGATCTAGAATTACACTGTCAATTTAGAGCTTTAAAATGCACCATGCACAGTACATTCTGAAACGTGAAGATTTGGAGAGCTTCAGGAGGAACAAAAGTTCATGGGAAATTGCCCGTTTCCTTTAGATTTTTCCATTTGGTTTTAGGTCTTCAAAAACCTCATTCTGGGGTTCCAGCTTCTAAGGCCTTTCTACTTCACTGATGCCTGGAATTAACTGGAAACATGGACCCTGGAATTCCAGGGACCCAAGTTCTGCCACTATGAACAGGCCCTGTGACTTAGGAGCAAGTAGCCTGACCTCTCAGCCTCGGCTCTCTTTGTCCTCAATGGGGATAACACTACTTCCTCACCAGGCTGTCCTGAGGATCAGGATGCACAGAAGTGCCTGATGCACACAGGGCACTTGGCAGAGAGCCTGGCACACAGAAGAGCTCAGTTAAGCCCCATGCTCTAGCTGCACCCAACTTATTGGGTTTACCAAGCATTTAAACATCCCCACGTGTCCGCACACGCAATTTCCTCTTCTTGGTGGCCAACTCCTATTCATCCTTGAGGGCCCCCGACCCTCTTCCTCCTCTTACAGAATTGCTACGAACATGTGTTTCAGTGAAAAGCTAGAAAAGGCACTTCCCCATGACACCCTCCCTAGGACTCCCTGTCACTGCACTTATCACACTGAGGTGCAATCATCTGTTGATGCTTTATGTCCCAGCACTGGCTCAGGCTTTCTGAGGGCAGGGCTGAGGCTGACTCATTTCCAAGTCCTGACGCCCAGAGAGCATGCCTGGCATGAAGTAGATTTCAATACAAGTTGGCACTACCTTAAACACACGTGGTCTGGACCCGGGCCCTGCTGACCCCAGGACAGATTTATGTATCAGAAGGGGCAAAATCCAGCCAGGTCTGTTACAGACACAGGAGATGGCAGTGAGTGGGCTTCAGGCAGCCTTGGAACAGGCCTATCCTGGGAGCGGACACAGTCCCTGCAGGGAGAGTAAACAGCCTGACTCCAGTGTCACTTCTTTCAGGAGTCTTCCCCAGTTCCTAGATTGTCCCCTTTTTCTGCCATACCCCCAAAGCATTCACAGGAGGAGTCCCTGACGAGGAGAAGTGCCTCCTGCCATGCTGATGACCTCCCACCCTCAGACACAGGGGTCTCTGTGGTCACAGGGTAGTGAGAGTGATCTAGGTGGCTTGGGATCCCAGGTCACAGTGGCTTGGCAGGCTGGATGTGAGTGCTGGGTACGGCCCCACATCTTTCCAGGACCCGGGGAAGCCATTTCCCAAAGGAGGCACATCCCCGGGTCTAGGGTTGCTGGGAGCCTCACCCTGAGAAGGGGGCTGTGCTTTGCCCTCCAAGGGCATCCCTTTCCCCTAATGTGCCCAAAGCCCCTCTTGGTGCCTAAGTCCCCAGCCCCCTGCATGTTATTCAGTCCCTGCTGGAGTGACAGCCTCCCAGCTTTTGTTCCAAAGACATGGTTGTCAAAAGGAAAAGAAGTATATTGTTTCTTTTTCTTTTTTCTTTTGTTTGAGACAAAGACGTCAATTTCTTTCCATCTGTCCCAAAAAAGGAAGAAAATTAAATTTGTTTTTACAAGGATGTCAGCACACTGCTTCAATAGGGAGTCAGGGGTGCATTACTGAGGCAGTGTTGGTGAGGGAGGGGAGAGCAGTGGGGGGAGAGGAGATGAGGCACGGGGGAGGTACAGGGAACAAGGACAGACACTGATATTCTGGGAAGCAAAGATCCAGGAGTGCCTGAATAAAATGCCAAACCAATGAAGAGAGAAACTTCTACACCCAACTCCAGGTGGATGCCACTCTCAGCATCATGAAGGGGGCAGCTAGGCTGGAGCAGGTGGGGAACCTGGGGAGCCTGCTGAGGGGAAAGGCAGAGGGGGACGCACACTGATGTCGGCATTGCAGTTACAAAAGCTTCTCCCCCCAGTTCCTTCAAGGTCAGGTCCCCATATGGGCAGTTCCAGTTCACTGGAGTCATTGACACCAGACACATGGGTGCAGCCAGATGTTGGGAGAATGGAAGAGGATTTCATCCAGGTTCTTATCAGGGGCCCAGGACCCAGCATCAAGTGCGAACTGATGCTTCTCATACTCCACCCCCCACCCCCAAGAGTCCCAGGCACCACTTACCATTCACAGGATCTAAGTAGGTGGTCCTCTGTCCTCCAGTATCTGGACCAGAGAAACTAGGGCCCTGAGGACCCACAAAAAGCATCCACCTTCCACTGGAAGACCTAACCTTGAAGCAGGAGCCCGCCTCTCTTCCTCCACCCACCCACCACCACTCCTTGCCACAGAGGTCCACTCCAGGCCTGAGTTTTCGAGATGGTTTTGGAAGCCTTCTCCTTCCCAAGCCTCTGGGCTCCCATTAGTACTCAGGTCTGGGGACCCTATCCCAACCAAGGTCCCATCTTATTACCCTATCCTGGAGCAGCTGCCCCCTGCTCTGCTGTCCTGTCCCAAGCCCCACTGTGGCCACTTTGATTCTGAGGCATTTCCTGCCCGTTCCAAGGAAATACACGACTGTCAAAGAGAGAAAAGGTATATTGTTTGTCTCTTTTCCTATCTCTTCCTCCCTCATTCTCCCTCTCTCTTTTTTTAGAGACAGGGTCTTGCTCTGTCCCCCAGGCTGGAGTGCAGTGGCACCACCATAGCTCACTGCAGCTTCAAACTCCTGGGATCAAGCGATCCTCTCACCTTCCAAGGAGCTGGGTCTGCAGGTGCAGAGCTGCCTGGCTAATTTTGTATTTTTTGTAGAGACAGGGTCTCTCGAGTTGCCCAGACTAGTCTCAAACTCCTGGGCTCATGCTCATCCACCCGCCTCAGCCTCCCAAAGTGCTGGGATTACAGGCTTGAGCCACCACGCCTGGCCCCTCAGTCTTTTATATTCTATTTATAGAGGTGTCAAGTTGGACCTGGACCTCAGCGAGCCTTGCCCCTTGCTAGAACTCGGGGCTGGGACTGTATCCGAAATTGAGGCCACAGGTCCTTTGCACAGGCCCCCTCTCTAGTGACCAAATCTTGAGCTGTGGCCACACCCGGCTGTCCTGTCTCTGGGTCTCCCCTCACAGGAGGCTCCTCCCTACTACACAGAGACCCAGTCTTGCAGCTCAGTTTTCAAGCAACTGTCCCCACCACTGCCCCTCC